ATCAAAGAGGCGAATGATCTTAAAGTACTTGATCTCACGACTTTGTTCAGCAAATTGGCAGAGCATGAGCAAGAACTCTCTTGCTTGGGAAAACATGAAAAAGAGTATGAAAAGAAGGTGAAGAAGGAGAAAGGAAAATATATGGAAGTAGAGAAGAAGTTTATTGCTCTAAGGATTCCAAGCTCATGGTCCTCTTGTAATGAGCAAAGTGATTACAAAACTAAAAATAACAATGATTCTGATGAAGAAGATATTAGGTTGTTTATCAAAAGGTATAATAGATGCATGAGGAAGTATGGAAATAAATAATCCAACAAGAACCATGGTAAATCTATAATACTATCGAATTCCTCCACGGAAGATGAAAATAAGAAGGGTAAGTCTAGAAGTACATGCTACAATTGTGGCAAACCGGACCACTATAAGCCAGAGTATCCTACAATCAAGAAAGACAAAGAAAAATTTTGTGATAAGATATCTAGCAAGTCTAGAAGAGCTTATGTCGCTTAAGAGAGATAAAGTGATTCTTCAAGTGATGATAGCTCTACTTCAAGTGTTGAATTGGCGAAAGTAATTATTATTATGGCCCAAAATGGAAGGTTTACATATAAAGTCATTGCCACTCATTAAGAGATTATTATAATCCATTATATACTCGATTAGGCGTCATCTAATCGATTAGGCATATAATATAATTAATTAGACAAATTTGAAAAAGTTTTCCTAATTAAGTAGACAATCCCCTAGTCATCTCTCTAGACTCTAAAAACATTTTTTTTTGTGATTTTCATTAAAAAATGAGAGGCTTTTCACAAAGGTAAATTACCATGTATTGACTCATCTTCTAATTTGTTGGATAATGATGTAGAACTATGTTTCATAGGTTAGGAAATTAAGGAATCTAACAATAACATGCCCTTAATGGTGAATATACTTTTGATGATGACAACTAATAAGAGCCATTGAAAATGTCATGTGTGCGGTTAACAAGAGGTTAAAGATGCAAACAAGTTAAGCTATGGTTTACTAACCACTACAAATATCCTCTGATGATGACACTCAACATGAATAACTCTCAAGCTTCATCTTCAAGAAGAATTCAAGCAAGTATCTGTATGACTGAATAATTTGACAAAACTTGAAGCTTTTGAGTGTGAAAGAGAGGAAGTGTGGAAGCTCTCCAAGCCATGGTTGAGTAATCAGAGTGTTGTAAACACACAAGGGATTTTTCATAAAGTTATGCAACTAATCACACACGCACAGATACACACACACACACACACATACATACACACACAGTCTCTCTCTCACAGACGCGCGCACACACACACACACACACACACACACACACACACACACACACACACACACACACTAAAATAAGTCTTAAAATTTAATTTTCTAAAGAAAATATTTCTAAAAATGTTTTGAAGTCGTGCCACTTGAATTGGGAGCTGCCATAAAAGTTCTAGACATTTTTTTTGTACTAGCCAATTGATTGAAACTTATACCCAATTGATTGGGTTAGTGGAAAAACACGCGTTAAATGTTTTTGGCATCATCTTAAAGAAGGGTAACAACTATATATCCATTGTTTCTTTTTTAAACCCTATAAACATTTATTTTTAGGCCAACCAATCGGTTGGAGCATGATGCCAATTGATAGACACGTTAATTTTGGCCCAATAATTTTTCCCTTTTTGTGTCAACCTCTTTTCTATAAATAGAGGTTTCTTCCCTTATATTTTCACATCAAGAATCGTGAGTATCATATATCACTCCTCACGCTCTCTCTAAAAGTATTTTTGTTCACTTTCTCTCGCTTGAATTTAGCTGCAACGCTTTCAAGAAAGTCTTCATGTTTAGTGAGATATATGTATAATTATGGAAGGATAGTATTGTATATTCTCCAGGGGACATTTTTACTTTGGCAGAATAATTTATCCATAAGGGATCGTTTGTTTGGGTTCAAATCTAAACTCGTTTAAAAGCTTTAGTTTTTGGGGATTTAGGTTTTAAGTTCTAGGTTCGTAAGCTAAGTCCGATTTAAAAGCTTAATTTGGTTAGAGATCAACCCATATTAAAATCTCAAGTTGGTTTGTGGTTATCCTATGTAAAACCTTGGTTCAGTTCATAAGCTCAACTCGATCAAAAGCTTGCTTTAGTTTGAGATAAAATTGGGTTAAAATTTTAGTGGTTTATGGTTATCCTGGTCAAAACCTCGGTTCGTCTGTAAGTTCATCTCGATACAAAAGGTCGCCTTGTTTCGAGATAAGCATGTGGAAAATATCGGCTCAGCTTGGGGATTAAACGCTTCAAGTTGCTGTTTGGAAAGAAGGCTAATCGTTTCATTCTGCCGTTTGGAAGGAAGACTAACCGTTTCTCTCTAGTGTTTATTGTTTGGTTGAAAGTTAGCCCAAAACTTCATCTTCCTTGTATAAGGGGGTTCAAGAGTTCAACCTACTAAAAGCTCTTAAGATTTACTGAATATTCTCAAGATCAAATCTTAGGTACAAGACTAAGTCTTATTGACTGAACCTGTATAATTTCTGGTGTCTTCTCTCTTTCCTTAACTTTTACCTTTTATAATTTATATTTCCGTTGCTTATTTCAAAAGCATTTTCAAAATGTTTTTAAACTCTGATAACGTTAAAGAAAGATTTTCAAGTCAACGTGTTTATGAAACACGCAATTCACCCCCTCTTATGTATGGAGTTACATGTCTAACAAATGCCACTTATAACCATAAATTAAACATACTTATTTCCATAAGAAAGAGAGTGAGGTCTTGTACCAAACACCCAAATGTGAACCATGTTTCTAGTGTAAGTTTTTGCAGAAGTACAAGAATTTTATCAACTCAGTGGACAACACCCACATCCTTAAAACATCCATGAAGCTATCTTAGTACAAGAGTGGAAGGTTGTAGGTTGTGAAAGAAATCAAGGCATTAAAGAAGAGTGATACATGGTATCTATGACACCTACCATAGGGAAAACACAGATGAATGCAAATGGATATTCTTGGTGAAATATAATGTGGATGAAAGTGTGAACAAGTATAAAACTCGATTAGTGGCAAAAGGATTCACTAAGTCTTATGAGGTGGACTATGAAGAGACCTTTGTACCTGTAGTAAAATTAAACTCTATTTTGTTCTCATTTCCTTAACAGTAAATTTGGATTGGCCACTTCACCTTCTAGATATTAAAAAATTATTTTCTAAATGATGAACTTGAGGAAGATGTTTACATGAGGATACCATATGAACTTGAGATATCAGAAAACTCAGGCAATGTGTGTAAGCTCAAAAGATCATTATACGAGCTCAAGCAATCCATACGGGCTTAGTTTAGCAGGTTTACAGGAGCAGTTATGATGCATGATTTCTCTCAATGTCAAATTGACCATACAATGTTCCTAAACCACTTAGAGGAAGACAAGATAACCATCTTCAGACAACATTATATTTACAGGTGATGACTATTCATGAATTGAAGGGCTAAAATTATTATAATGTTTTCTTGGAATGGAATTGACACAGTCAAAATCCAGAATTTGTTTTGTCTCAAAGAAAATATACTCTTGACTTACTTCAAGAAGTAAAGATGTTAAGGTGTCAGCCAACATACACTCCTATTAGAATCTAATGTGAAAATATAAGAGGAAAAAGAGAGTCCACCAACTGATAAAGAGATGTATCAAAGGCAGGGTGAGAGACTTATCTACCTAACCCATCAACAACCAGATATTGACTTTTTTGTCAGCATGGTTATTCGCTACATGAATGACCCCAAAAGAGACTCATGTGAAAGTAATTAATTGTTTTCTGTTGTATCTCAAAAAGATACTAGAGAAGGGGTTACATTTCAAAAAGGACCCAAGCTGAAAAATAGAAATATTCACATATGCAGATTGTGTGTTGGTCAGTAACTATTAGAACATCAACAAATGTGTATTGCTCATTTGTATGGGGCAACTTAGTGACATGGAGAAGCAAGAAACAATTTGTAGTTGAAAGAAGTAGTATTTAAGCAAAATTTAGGTCAATGACATGTGGGATTTGCAAAGGAATGTGACTCCAAAAGATGGTTGCGAAACTATAAGTTCATACTTAGTATGAAGTAAGTCTATTGTGTGACAACAAAGTTGTCATAAGTATTGCTAAATATCATGTGCAACACAATAGGTCAAAGTATATAGAATTGATAGACATTTTATCAAGAAAAAAATGATAATAAATTAATTTCCCTTCTGCATACACCCTCAAGTCATCAAACAAGTGATATCTCTTCACCAATGCACTTTCTAAAGCCAACTATAAAAGCTTAAAATTCAAGTTAGCCATAGTAGACATTTATAACCCAACTTAAAGGGGGAGTGTTAATTGTTGTGGCCATCAAAGCACAATTGTGCAACCATTAATAAGGGACAACAATACACATTTTATAGTTGTATACATTTATTTTTATTTCCACAACCATATAAAATATTTCAGTCTTTATAAATAAAAATTAATTTAAATTTAATTAGTTTCCCTAATTACTTCCTATTATATTTTGTACAAGAAATACACAATTCTTACACTATGAACCCAACTAATGATAATGAATAAAATTTTAGTTTGCCTTAAAAAAAAAAGAAAAAAAGAGACAGCCCGATATTGTATGATTGTTGTGATTCTACCAGTTAAATAGGCCTTAAATTTCTGTAATAACTAATAGGTGGCGAGGTTTCACTTTTGATGTAAAAAGTCTTGAAAGTAGGTTAACAACATGATACTCTTTCACAAGTCACCCCAATCAGTCAATCTAGTAATAGTTGAACCAGCTTTTGTGGAAACCAAACAAACTTTGCCACGAATCAGTTACCCAATAAACCTGCTTCTCTTTCCGACTTTTCACTTCTCCTCATGAAAAATAAAACCCCAAAAAGCACTATTAATGTGCTTCTCTTCATTCTTCACAACTGAAACCACAAAACAAAGCACAAAGGAAAGCTATGAAAACAGGAACTTCAAGTTTCTTCGATGATCAAACTGTTTTTTTCACCACTAAACTTCTACGTTGGACTATTTGTTCTCTCATTCCAATAGCTCTCTTTCTTACATACTTCTACCATGTGCCAATTCAACCCTTTTCTCCATCTCCAAATTCTGATTTCACTCATTCCAATATCACTTCTCACTCTTCACCTTCATCTTCTTATGCAGGTATATTCTTACACAATTCCTTCTTAATCATCAAAATTATACACTTGTGATTATGTTTAATTTATTTATTTTATCGCGCTGTGTCAGTGTTGATGTCGTGTTCAGGGTGCCGGCAACACAATTGGTTTTCTGGTTGCCTTCTATTTCTGTATAATTTTTATTATATATATATATATAAAATATGATCATGTTGATTTCAGAGAAGAAAAGAGCTTACCAAAACCAATGTGATTACTCAAAGGGTGATTGGATCAAAGACACATCAAGCCCTTTATACAATGATACAACATGTGGTATGATTAAAGAAGGAAGAAATTGCATAAAACATGGAAGACCTGACTCTGATTATCTTTATTGGAGATGGAAACCAACTGAATGCTATCTTCCAAGGTTTGAACCTAGAACTTTTCTACAACTCATTCGCAACAAAAATATAGCTTTTGTTGGAGATTCAATGGCCAGGAACCAATTAGAGTCTCTTCTTTGTATGTTATCAACCGTTTCAATTCCTAATCTTGTGTATCAATACGGCGATGATAATCAATTCTCCAAGTGGTACTTTTCTTCATACAATGTAAGTATTTCATTGTATTGGTCTCCATTTTTAGTGCAAGGTATTGAAAAATCAAGCACACGGCCGAATAATGAGTTATATTTGGATCATGTGGATGAAAAATGGGCAAAGGATATGAATCAAATGGACATGATTGTGTTATCAATTGGACATTGGTTTTTGCTTCCTGCAGTTTATCATGAAGGTGATTCAATTTTAGGGTGTCATTATTGTCCCGGTCTTAACTACACCGATATCGGATTTTATGATGTATTGAGAAAGTCTTTAAGGACTACTCTTAATAGCATAATTGATAGAAGAGAAAATAATAAAGGTAAAGAAATTGATGTGGTTGTGACAACATTTATGCCGCATCATTTTGAAGGTGAATGGGATAAAGCGGGTGCTTGTCCGAAGACTAAGCCTTATAGAAACGGCGAGAAGGAAGTTGAAGGAATGAATGGGGAGATGAGGAAGGTTGAGATTGAAGAAGTTGCAGCTGCTAAGGCGAAAGGGAGTGAAGATGGAAGGTTTAGATTTGAGGTATTGGATATAACGGAATTGGCTTTGTTGAGACCGGATGGTCACCCCGGTCCTTATATGAATTCTTTTCCGTTTTTTAATGGTGTTCAAGAGCATGTGCAGAATGATTGTGTTCATTGGTGTTTGCCGGGACCGATTGATACATGGAATGAGATATTTTTAGAAATGATAAAGAAGTGGGGGAAAGAAACTAGGAGTGAAGATTGAGATATTTCTAATGTGTTGTTAATTGATACCTTAGTGTTTATATTGCATGTTATTGTTCTTGCATTAGAACAGAGAATTTTTGTTTCAGGTTAGGTATCAAACATTGATATTGATGATAGTAGTTTTAATATGCCATTTTATTTTATTTTATTTTTCTTAGTTCAATTAAATTTTTGGAGCAAGTTGTTGACCAAGAGTATGTAAACTCCGAATCCGAAAGATGTTAGAGGTTTAAATCTGCAACGGGCGAATGTTTGTTCTTGCTATTTATCAATTGAACTGGCTTGACAGAAGGGAAATATGTTTTTCATCTATACAAATTACAACATTTTGAGTTTAATAATCTATAAACACTTGTTCAATTTCAATTCTTTAGAAACTAAAATTAAATACAGCTTTTTATGGTTTAAATTTAAGAAGTCTTTAAATACAGCTTTTCAAATGTGTCCTTTTCCATGCCATGGAAACCAGCAGAAAGAAAGGGTTCATGTTCTCCTTATGCTATTTTTGCTTTTCATTCACATGCTCAATAAGTTGAAATCACAATACTTAGCTGAGTTAGGTTGTAATTTTTTAAGTTTTTATTTTTGTTTTTAATGTTAGTTAGGCCTTTTTCCTTATTTTGGTCATTACCTTTCTATAAAAGAAAGCTATTCTCAATTATTATAATTAAGGAGAGAATAATTGAGTGTCAATAAAATTAGAGGATTTTTTCATTCTTATCTTCTTTTTCTTTGCATCACATTCGGTCTTTTCTTTTATGTTTGCACATAAATCTTTTGGGTTCATCGATTTTCACATGGTGTATGTAGCATGAAAAGATCTCTCATTCCTCTTTGTTCCATTTATCTAAGAGTGATATTGCTCCCTTATCTTCTTTCAATTTTATTTTTTGGGTTCATTCTTTCTCCTTTTCCTTTTATCATGAGAGAACGATGATGCATCAACCAACAAATATCCATTATTATAGGAAAATCAAATCCACAAAAACCACCAACAACACATTTATCTAAGATCGATATTGCTTCCTTATCATCCTTTAATTTCACTTTTAGGGATCTTTCTTCCTCCTCCCCCTTTTCATCATGAGTGACAACCAGGATGCATCAATTAAAGAACCCTAAAGAAATTCTATTCATCACAAAGATAAATGTTGGATACAAGGTCTAAAACAAGGTATACAAAAAAAAAAAAAGGTCTGACTGCAACGTCACCTAGAGATTTTCAATCCAATAAAAGAAATTCACTCTCAATAATATTAGTATAATAGTCTTAGATGAACAAACCTTGTTCAATGTTTCAATCTAATACTACCAGTAATTTTCTATTCTAGACTCCCTAATACTACCAATAATTTTTTATTCGGACTCTAATACAACCCATAAAACTTCGTTCAGGCACCCATGAATAAGAGAGTCCTCTCACTTTCTCTCAAACAATTTTTTTGTGTTCAGACAATTACAATAATAAGATGGATGATAATTTATATAGCAACTTTACAACTCAATACTCTATTAAACTAATTTAGATTTGAAGCACATAAATAAAGTTTACAAAATACAAACAAAATAAAAAATTCAACTAAAACACAATTCTCCTAATGAGTAGATATTTTCTCTTGAGGTCAGAGTCTTCACAAAGGATATGAACTCTTTATATAGCCATAAAAAACCAGCTCCCAAAAGTCCATAAGAATTTAGGTCATTAATTTGGTCTGACTTCTAAAAAGCACCTGAGATCAATCTTCAATAATGATGATTTCTAATTTTGATTGATCTTCTTGATTAAATCTAAATCTCTTGATTATTCTTGTTGTATTTGATTTAGATCACATCCTCCAAAAACTATCATAATCAATCAAATCTTTATTAGAAAGATTGATACAAAGTAACGGTCATAAACAAATGTCTATCATTGAACATTTGGCATAACATCTGTCCATATAATAGCATTGTGAATCTTGAACAAATCAAATAAAATATTGACTTTGATATACATCACAATTCCGACTTTTCAAGTAAAGGATTAAGAATAAATCTCTTGCAAGAACTGAACCACACTTTAAATTATCTTTAATTGAGATCGGAGAATTCTTCATCAAGTGCAAATTCAAATCTTGTAATTTCACAAATCCAATAAAATTTGTTGAAAGTTAGATAACGAGAAATTCTCATTTATTTGGATTTTTTTGTTTCAAATGATTAATTTCGCTACGAAAGAAGGAACAATTTAGGTATAAACTATATATAGAAAGGGTATACTTGATGCCTTACTTAGAAGTTTTGGACAATTGATCTTGATGAGGCTAAAGTGTCTCAAGTTCAATTGAGAAATGTTTTACCATCTTAAAAAATAATTGTGTTTTAAAGGATTCAAAATTAACGAGATATTATTTACCAGAAATTTTCTATTTTATTTCTACAAATGAGTTTCTAATTATTAAGTAAAATCAAAATCTGTGTGAGCGAGTCTAGAATAGGATTCAATGTCATGAGTCCATTTTAAAAATTTAAAGTAAAAATCAAATATACCAACCTAAAACAATTGTCTTAGATAAACAATTAGATAATAGCGTTTAGTGCTCAAAGTGGTCTACGATAACAATAACTTTTAACTACTTCAACATAGCTATATGTTTACGACATGTCAATGACTTACCTCAAGCTTTGATTGAGGGACTTGTCCCAAGGTCTACTTTTGGGACTCACTCCAAGCTTTATCTAAGAACTCGTTTGGGGGTTAATATAAGCATGGAGACCTAAATATTGCAAAGCATTCAACTTAATCATTTCGCCCTTTACAAGGCCTTATACTTAAGAGACTACGTATTGAAATAATTTTACTAAGCCCTAAGAAGAAAGATCCATGAGTAGATGATTTAAACTAATTACCTCAATATTGGGAGAGCACCCAACATGGGATGGTAGGTTGTCTAAAATAAGGCATGGAGTCTCCTGGAATTGGGAGATAGACCGACATATTGGGCTTGGGTCGCCCGATGTGGTCCATTGACTTGCCTTATGTGATCAACAATGTATCTAAGTGGTAACCAGCTAGAGGATTAATTCAAGAGAGAGAGGGGGGGGGGGAGAGATCGATCTAACTACGATTATAGGAAAGACTCGGTCTTCCTCTTTCCCACGTCATTGATCTAGAAGGTAAGGAAACTGCCCTTCTGCCTGACTAGCCTGACCCAATGCACCTCTATAAATACCGCAATCTTAGGACTAAGGAGTGAATATATAGTTCTTTAAGAATTCAATAAACAAGTCTTTTGCAACCTTTACGTGTACAGTCCCTCAATACATCGTAAACCCTCAAACTAGATAGGCCTACACAATTAAGGTTGTCGCCTTATTTTAAGGTCCAACTTACTCCAAGAGTAAGTTTTTTTTAACTTAGTCTAAATCATAACCTTTAACTTAGATTTAATTGAATGGTTAATTAAGTAAAAATACTTAATTATTATATTAGATTCAATTTAAATATTATGATTTGGAGTAAGTTAAAAAAACTTACTCTTGAAGTAAGTTGAACTCAACTTAATGTGTGTGTGTGTGTGTGCGCGCATGTGTGTGTGTGCGCGTGTGCGCGCGTGCACACGCGTGTGTGTATGAGTGTGCGCGTGCATGTGCGTGCGTATGTGTGTGTGCGCGTGCGTGCATGCGCACGCGTGTGTTTGTGTGTGTGTGTGTGTCTGTCTGTTAGAAATAATTTATATTTTACAAAACTTAGTGACTAAGCTTTGTTAGAGGGTAATTTAGTACTTTAGTATGTCGCGTATGTGACCCTAGTTTTCTGTGTATAAATAGACTAGTGGTAGATGTCATTTATTGTAATTCTTCCTTACAACTTTGTATCTGTCATTTGAAGAATATAATTCTCTCATTCTATTCATCTCTTTTGACCTTGTGTACCAAAAATTGATATCTAGAGCTCTGGTTCGGATCCACGGGGAAACACGAGTTAAAGGTGAAGCGTTGTATGGTTGATTTCGTTTATTGAACTCATGTTGAATCTTGAACGAAATCGTAACAGAATCACACTTTCTGATTCTGTAGAATTGGGAAACACTGTGTTTGGTGAGATCTGAGTGATTGCACAAGGTTGAAGGTGAACAGAAACCATGGTCTGAGCACCAAGTTTCCAGTGTTTGATGGAGAAAATTGGACTCGTTGGATGATTAAGATGCGTGTAATGTTCGGTGCTCAAGATTTTCTTGATCTTGTCACTGAAGGTTACATTCCAGTAGCAGCAAATGCAACAGAGGAACAAAAGAACATGCAAAAAGGTACGAGGAAGAAATATCATAAAACATTGTTCTACATCCATTAGTGTGTGGATGCAAACATGTTTGAGAAAATCACTGATTCAACCACAATGAAGACTGTGTTGGATACCTTGGTCAGGTGCTATGGTGGTGACATGATGACAAGAAAACGCATCGATTATATCGCTAGATTTCATTGACGTTTTATCGCGCATTCACCGTTTTAACGCTCGATTTCTCGAGTTTTTCTTACTATTTTGCAGGTACATCGTTATGTGAGGCCGAATCATGAATTAAGAAGAAAGGAACGAAAGAAACCACAAGAAATGAAGCAAGACAGAAGCCTGCAAAAAGTCTGCATAATTTGTTACGGCCACGGTCGTTACAAGGGTGTCACGACCGTGACACCTTACTTTGGGCCATCACGACCGTGAGGAAGTAGTCACGACCGTGACACTTGAAATCATCAAATAACGAGCGTGAAGACCTTGTCACGCCCGTGACAAGGATAAAACTTGGTTTTGACTCAGACTACGTCAAGCCACCACTAAAGACCACTCCTCCTAGTAATTCTCCTCAAGGCAGCACGTGAGGACGACTTCTCCCAATTTTGCTGCCACTTTCCAACATTTTCTCAACCACTTCAGCAAAGCCCAGGAAGCAAAAGACCAAGGCACCAGCCCATTGGAAGCTCTATAAATAGGACCAGCTCAGGAGAACTCAAAGACAG